GGGGGGGGGGGGCCGTCTAAGCTAAGCCGGCAGCGTCGAATTAATTTTTCGCCAAGGCGCGATCGTTCCTCCGCGAAAGTTGCCGGCAAAAGAAACATCATGCGAATGGAAGCGCGGGAAATGCGTCGGGGATTGGAGGCGACTGTTTTGTGACGGGGAAGGGGGACTTGAGTGAGAACAATCAATCCCCTTCACCCAAAAATCAGAATTTTTGCTCAGGGAGAGGCGGCTCAAAATTTTTTTACCTGTCATAATACAGGTAGGCAGGTTAGCAGTGGATTGCAAAACCAGTTAGGTACTATGAAGTTGGGAACTCACCTAACTGTCAAAATTGAGAATTATTACTGACGAGCTTGCCCAGTAATTATGTATTATTAATTGTTATTAATTATTAATATTATTCAGCGTTTTAATTATATTATTAATTATGATATTGTTGTATAAGTCTATCGTATTAATTGTTAAATCGATCGATAATGACTGTGAATTTTATCAGCTTTGTGAGCTACCAACTTTATTGTGTCTTCATTATTTTGTTGCAATGCACTGCACATAAATTTTGCAGCAACTTTGCTAGTCGATTTACAAAGGTTGCATCCTTTGTGAGTCCTTCATGTAGAGCGTTCATATTTATTATATGGAACGATAAAAAGGAATGCCAGAAAAATTATCAAAATTTACCCAAAACAATATTTCATGTCAAATGTGAAAATCTTTGAGATTTAGTAAATTTCTTTCTGCATTAATATATAAATAAAAAAATGTACACTCTATTGCGCACGGAGAAAACATTGCAGTGAAAATAACAACATTCTTGTAATTCTGAGCCATACAGAAGAATTGTGATTAAAATTACTATTTATATATATATATATATATATATATATATATATATATATTTATTTGTTAAATGTCATGTCTGACTTTTCATTATGAAATTATTGTAATTAAATATTTTTTTTATGTCGTATACCAAGTAGATTGTGGAATTTATTATTTCCACGTTAATTTATACTCTACACACAGAGCTCTACTTTAGAGCAGTCTAGCTTTTCAAAAGACAACGTAAAAAGAAATACAATTTTAACGTAATTTTACTGCAACATTTTCGCTGCGTGTTTGACGTAAATTTAACAATTAATGCGATGCACACATTATACATGCTTCAGGAGAATATAATTAAAAAGTAGAATTTCCATCATCAGTCGTGATGAGCGCGAAAGTCCTCATTCGGGAAACAGCATCCTAATTCTGAACTATTCGTTTCTTGGTTTTCGCGTGATGTGGAGGGAGAGAGGGGGGGGGAGCAGCTGCACAGGAGTGTCGTTTCCAGGCGAGGAGCGTCGCTCTTTACGGGTCGCGGTAGGATTGTCCGACGCGGTTCGTCTCTTTCGACGAGCGATGAACGTCGACGCGACTCAGGGAGCGAGGGGTGGCTCCGACGGGGGTTGTAGGGCGCCGTTCGTGTAAGTGGCAGCGTCGTTCCGAAATATATATCGTTGCGGTAGGTCGCGTGTGGGGCGGATCGCGTCGTGCCGCACCGCTGGAGAACGAAAGACGCAATTATCGGTCAACGTGGCGTCCCGACGCGTCGTCTCCTGTTCGTTCGCTCGCTCGCTCGCGATCCATTTGCCGTATCGCTTGTACATTACCGCTTTTCTTCGACGCGCGCGCTATTTATCCGGCGTTAACGTTGCGCGTTTGTTGCTGCGATTCTGCGCCGAGAAACGACGAGAAGAAGGAGATATAGAAGGTGGAAGAGACGGGAGCGCGGCAGATACCGTAAGAAATAATAATGCTTTTACAGTTTTGGTTTTCTTCCTCTTGAAAAATTGAAAAGCTCCTTCGTAAAAATTACGAGCTAAAGTATCGAGGGATGGCTCCAATCGCGCGGAGCGAATCCGCCGACGGGAGTGGAATATTCGGTCGTAGAGCGTCCGCGCCACGTGCATCGTTGCGACAGAAACGTGAAGGGGAAAGAGAGAACGACGACGACTCATTATCGAGTCCGTGCGAATTTCCGAAATGATTTCGCGTCGAAGCTGTTTATTAATTTTGCGACTCGACTCCGCCTCGAATCGACCTAGATATTCGCGCGCGCATTCCTCTCATCCTCCCTGCGCCTCCTGGCCGCTTTTTCAAACCACAAATCTCCCGTAGCCGCGGATGTGGACACGCGGTGTAATTTAGCTCTCTCCGATCTGGGTCGACATCCATTCGGCCGGCCGTACTAAGCGAGCGCGCGTGCACGCCGCTCCGGTCGGAAACATCGGCGAGCACATTGTGGCGA